CTCCTCCTCTCTCAGGCTGAGCGAGCTCGCCTCGCGGCTGCGCGAGCAGCGCGGGCAGCGGCTGGAGGAGACGTATCACCGCGCGAGCGAGACGTTTGCCGAGGCGACCAAGCCTCTCTCTCTCTCTCTCTCTCTCTCTCTCTCTCTCTCTCTCTCTCTCTCTCTCTCTCTCTCTCTCTCTCTCTCTCTCTCTCTCTCTCTCTCTCTCTCTCTCTCTCTCTCTCTCTCTCTCTCTCTCTCTCTCTCTCTCTCTCTCTCTCTCTCTCTCTCTCTCTCTCTCTCTCTCTCTCTCTCTCTCTCTCTCTCTCTCTCTCTCTCTCTCTCTCTCTCTCTCTCTCTCTCTCTCTCCCTTTCTGATTGAACCTCGAAAGAAAGGAGCTTGAGGATAGGGCCCAACCGTTCCTGGGTATCGAAGAACAAGAGTGGGTCCGTAAAACAGAATTTAGACAAGACAACAGAACTGGAGAAAGAGACGAAGAGAATGAGATGAGGCAACTGATACTGGACATAAATGCAAGGAAGACGCTTGAGGAACGGCCAACGCCCAATAAAATCGACAAAGCGCTACGGCGCTTGTGGGGTTGGTTGTACGACCGCAGGACTGCAGTTGACTTCCTGGGTTTCGCCCTCCTCTTTGACATGATGCCGCATGGTAAGAGGCTTCTTGAAAACACGGCGTATGCCCTCGGCATCCCCATATGGGGCCAGCTACTTTTGGAATTGGTGTTATTTGCTCTCACCTCCTCCGACAACTGACCCCAAGCCCCCCCTGGGGCCCTCCGGCCTCGGCTTTCCGGTTCGCCGGCGGGTCCGCTATCGTACCGCGGTAAATCCCCTCCCCCATCTCCTCCTCCCGGGTACACCAGCCTCCGGCGGGGCGGTCCCGGACCCCCCAGGTTATTCCGAGCGGGTCCATACGGCGGCGGCCCCGCCGGCGGCGGGGGTGGAGGCGGTGGCAGGGGCGGCGGGCACGGTGGCGGCCCTCGCGGCCAAAACGCCTGGTGTGAAGCCGCTGGGGCGGCCCCACGACCCTGCAGCCGTTCCAGTGGCGGGGGCGGAAATGGCAGTGTGGGTGGCGGAAACGATGGCGGCACTGGCGGCCGCACCGCCTGGTGTAGAACCTCAGGGGCGGCTCCTCGACCCAGCGGTCGCTCCAGCGGCGAGGGCGGAGGCGGTGGTGGCGGGGGCGGGCCTGGTGGCGGCGCCGGCCGCCGCAACTCCTGGGGCGGGGCCTCGGGGGATGCCCCCTGCCGATCGCAAAATTCTTTTTGGGGGGGGCGGCGTGTGGTTTTGCCGCTCGCCTTCTGCGGCGTTCCACTGTGGCAGGGCCCGCCGCTGCTGTCGCCGCTGTATGGCTGACCCTCCGCCCGTATCGCCGCCTCGGCTGCCGCCGCCGCCGCCGCCTGACGTGCAGCTGCTCGACCTTCGCACGGCCACCACGTACCAGGACTCGAGCTCCTTCGACAAGCAGGCGCCCGTGAACGACCTGTCATACGCCGACAGCACGACGGGACGGCCGTGGGCCGAGTGCGGCCACTACACAAGCCAATGGTGGGGCGTCGACCTCGGGAGCGAGGCGTATGTGCGCTACGTGCGGCTGCAGAACCGCAACGACTGCTGCGCGGAGCGGCTGACGGACGTCGACATCTATCTCGGCTCGACGGCGGAGACGTACACGGGCAACGCGCTGGTGAAGTCAGACGTGAGCGTGTCGTCGAACGTGATGTTGGAGGTGGAGATCAACGCGTTGGGGCGCTACATCTACCTCAACCGGCCGTCTGCGGCGGGGCTGACGGTGTGCAAGTTCTACGTCTTCGCCTCAGCCGCACCGCCTGGGCCGCCGTCGCCGCCGCCGCCATCGCCGCCTCCCCCAGCTCCGCCGCCGCCGCCGCCGTGCAGCGAACTGGATGGCCGCACGCAAGTCCCCCAAGGCGGCGCCTGCAAGAAGTTGA